CTTCCAGTTCGTCGGTGCGGGACAGGAGGTGGTGCGGCGCGCATTCGTGCAGTATTTCACCGAGGTTGAGGGCCTTTACCCCTACACTCGGTGCCAGTGTCTACGGCCCACCGTGGGGGTGGACGCCTATGCGGTTGTGGATGTGGACAGGATTCACTCTCTTGCCCACAACGTCCCAAGCTTCACCGACCAGGGCATGTTCCTGGTGAACCGTATTTTGTGGTGATTTGGACCTTCTTTCAACGTGTTGACCTTGTGGACGAGATGGTGTTTCCCCGTTCCGTTTCACTAACTGTAGTGTATCATGCCTGTGGGTCATTATGTGCTGGTGCCTATTAGGGGATAACCTAGAAACCATGATGGTCGTGTATGATTGGGATGGGCGTTGACTTGGTCGTTTGTGGGAGGTTCTAGCCGCTGGATTCTGACCACGGTATTTCTTGATGAATGATAGCATTGCGGATCATTCCGGATTCATGTGGCAATTCAGGCGCCTTTGAATTTGGACAGATTGCCCATTCTGGGGCCCCATAATGCCACAAGGAAGGCATTGCAAACCCCTGAACAAAGTGTCGGTGGCAGGATTTGAACCCGAGTCTTCCCCTAGGCAGTGAGCTGGAAGTATCTTCGGGAACAGTGTGCAGTTAGGTTCAGGACAGTTTGTGCGGAAACTGTCCCGGAACTGGCCCAAAAGTCTCCTGTGGGTTTATTTGGGGTCATCGGGAACAAGGGGTCAGTTTTGGGTCAGTAACTTTTTGCTCAGTAGTATTAAGCAAGAACAAATATGCGCAAACATGGAAACAGAGCCATCAAAAGGGCAGGGTTGAACGACTCGTTGAACTTCAACCAGGGAGAGTAATACCCGAGAGCACAAGAGCCACGAATGCAGCGAGCAGGAGGAGAGAGCGCGTCATCGTTGGTCCAGCTCGAAAGGCCCCAGAGCCTTTATATCATTCACTTGAAGCGGAAACCCTAGCTAGCGTCACGGGAAATCACTGGTACTGCTAGTAGCACTTCTTTTCCTACAGATGATTCTCTGAGCACCGGCTGCGATGCTTTGTACCATGGGCAGGGGTGGGAAGGACCCCGAGCCACGCCCCCCCTCGAAGGGTGTGGGGCCTCGGACGGGACTCCGACTCGGAGACCCCCCTCACCAGTTCATCATCGGGCTGGCTCACCCAAGGACTCTCTGAGTCACTTGCGGCATCGTCGATGATGACGCGTCGATGGCTTCAAGTTGCGCGTGCGAGCTGACGTGTGGATGACATCGTGCCAATGCCAAAGGTACATGTTGAAGTGTCGTTTTCGTAGGTGGTACAAGAACTTCGGAACTTCTGTAGCATCTGCCGGAAAGAACAACTTGTGCGCGCACAGTTCTAGCAATGCTGTGCATTTCCCTTGACTTTATCTGACTCATCGCTGGAAAGGGAAGGTGGTGCTGCTGAGGTTACGAGTGCTCTACCAAGCAGGGATTCATACAGCCAATGATAGAGTCGCTGGCAGCTGAGGTGCCACGGGCACCAGCCCTTGTTGCCCCCCTAGCTGGATCTGATCTTGCCCCGCCAGCACCCGCCCTGATGTCCTTCGTGATACAACATGTTTAGTCTAAATTCCGCACATCTTGCATAAAACGTTATTATATCAAGAGGTCTTTATACAAGACCTCATAAATTTTATTGCACATTTAGATATATAGATTTTTAGTATATAATTGTATCAATTAACTATAATCAAGAAATTGGATATAAAATATTGACTAAATATAAACATTTGATTAAATTATTAGCTTTAATGGGGCCAACGAATTTGTTTAGAATAATCATGATTAGTTTTAAATATTTACTTTATATATATATATAAAATAACGATTGCCATCAATTTAAGTAAAATCGTTTGGGCAATCTATATGATATATTTTAGCATGCAATATATTAAAATATACAAATAAAAGAAAAGTCAAAATATATTGACAGGTTGAACCATGATAGGAGACTCCAGGTTTATAAGTTCGGTACTACAAATATCTTTCGTTGTACCAGTTCTCACATCTTCCTCGACCTTGTTAAATTGTCCTTCGTTCTTGAATATTCGAAGTTACGAAATTACATTTTGTAAGTTCGTCATTGTTTCAAACTTTGGTGCGGAAACCAGACGGGCGGCTCAGTTGACGTTCATCGAAAGACGTTTCCGCGCAAAGTTTGATGCACGGAAGTACTGTAATTGCCGAACAGCAAACGTTGCGATACGCATGGGAGCTTTTCGTTTGGTGAGGTGGATGACTCCGAGCGACATCACACCCAAATCTACAATGGAAGGGGGTGATGCTGGTGAGACATTCCCTTCTTTTCGCTTACAGTGTCAGCAGGCGTTTCGCGCGCTTGCTTTTTGAGAAATTTGCACCAACCCACCAGTGGCGCTATTTTCTCTACCTCCCACTAGCAACAAGCTACAGTTCCGCTTGCGTCTAGCTACAACGAATTGAGAAATCGGCGCAGAGTAGGTGTACACATCTTCGAAGGAACACTCCATCGTGATAGTATCGGTTTTGCTGGTAACCCTGGCAAAACGGTTTGTAGAGGAAACATATAGTGATTTTTGGACGCTATTGTTCCGTGCGGGTGTACAAAACTACGCATTGCGACTGCAAGTCGGTAGTCGCATTTGTTGGCCACAAGTCGTCCCGTAACCGCCACGATACTGCTACAGTATCTCCAGACTTGGGCTTGGAAAGAACGGATGAAGACAATGACTGTCATCCGCGTGAGTATTCAACCGCCACGCTCGAAAATGCCCATGTCCGTTTGTGCAAGGAGCCGTTCCAGGCATCAAACAAGCGTGACTATGAAGCGGCCATTTTGGGGGGCAGCTCTACACGGCATGCCATGCAGTATCTTCCACCTGCGCTAGAGGGGGAAACTCGCGAGTACAACACTGCGGCTAAGGGTGTGAGCGTTCAGTGGTGCTTTATGGCTGTGGGCCGGCTCTGGCCGATTGTCCTCACTTCCGCTTTTATCCACCTTGTATCTCATTGTTAGACATTTCCATCCTTCCAGGTTGCATTCGGCACACCCACTCTGGGCTGTGTCAATGTCTCTGGGGTGTCAGTGCACGTCAGAGGTGATCCCCACCATCCCATGTTGTTTGTTTCGTCGTTCTTGACAGCGATCCTTGACCCTCGCATATGCTTCTCGTCTGACGTTGACTATTTTGTTAAGTTCCCCACTAGACGTAGCGGTAGACCTCGTTTGCCACCCCAGCCTTCCGCCTACTCTTACGCCCTACTCTTCCCCCCCACCCTTCTCAAGCCTTGCCTCCCATTGCTGCTCCATGCCAGGTAGATTCCCGACAGAGTGCGCTGTGATATGTCCCACCTTGTCACAAGTGCCCCTCCTTCCATGCCTATCAATCCCACAACCTCCCTCATCACCCTCCCATGTCTACCCCTTAGGGTGGAGGGGTCGCCCCACCTTCAATCGTACGCGAGGCCCGCACGGCAATTGGGGGGAACGACTCGCTCAGCGGACTGCGGCCGTTTGCTAGAGGCTTTGGCATCGTGTAGTAACCCGGGTCTCAACTACTTTTGTTCCATCGTTAGGCAGGCACGCACATTAGGCAAGCCTACTCTGACCAGCAGTTCGGTGGCCATCTCGGATGGGTGTGACGTCACAGCCCGCGGTTATTCGCTGTTCATGGTCAGCGACGGGTGGAATGCTGGCTGGGTATCACCGGGTCATGCAGAGGCATGGCTTCTTCAGCACTTAGTCACAGGTCAGCTCCCATCCTAAACTCCTTTCTCTCTGTTTCACCTCGCATGGCTGGCTGTAGGTGTGCCCTAGGTAGCTGTTGCTTCGCTGAGTGTGGGGAAGTCTGTGTGCGCAGGTGCACAGGGCTGTTGCCCTGCCAACTAGAGATGTGCGGACTGGAGAGGCAACGGCCAAGTATGCGCGTGCTGCACCCCGTCACCACGGCGCCCCAGCCTTCTCCTTTGTTGAGTACGGCCCGGCTGAGAGTGAGGCGGTGTATGGGAAGTTAGTGCTGCTGCTGAGTGCACGCAAGGAGGGCGTGGTCCAAGGGGGTGGTGCGCACAAGGTCGTATACATTAAGCCATGGAAGTGCGACCGAGTTGATGCCTTGACATGGTGCATGAGGCTGCAGGAGGTGCAGAGGCCAGATGCATGCATCGTTGTCCCTGCGAGCAGCCTCAGACGTATTGTTCACGTGGTGCAGTCATTTGATAGGCCAAGGACATGGTTCTTGAACAAGTGGACAGATGGGTTGCGGCAAGGCGGGGTGTAATTGCTGGATGTGCTTTGATGGTGCCTCATGGAGAGGTTGTTTTGGTAGTGATACTTAGCTGAATTATCATAATGGCTTCAGGCCTTTAAAGCAAGGATCTCAAGAAAAAAAAAAAACCAAACCCTAAGGTTTTGGTTTCGAGGGGGCGTGGAAATTACGAGGTGTGGTGAGGGGTGTTTGGGGGCTGCTGTTACTGTTTCGCTCATTTCGCCAATCAGAAACGAAAACTTTTGGATTTGGTTTCGCTCTTCTTGAGATCCTCGCTTTAACAGCGGAATGGCCAATTTACGTTCAGTTTATAGTGCGTCCTACTTTATGACAATTGAAACATGGTTAGTTAGGTGGAACTATTCAGAACATACAATGGGACCCTATGCCATTAACAGGGGGTCCTACGTCATAGTCATTGTCGGGCCTCTGGCGCCCCCTCGGAGGCTGATGTCCGGGCCGAACCAGAGACAAATGTTCGAGCCGAAGCTGCGTGGTTTCATGTGCTTGACCCAGTCCCCAAACCTCCTCTGATTGGTCCTCTGTTTTTCTGGCGAAGTTCTTCGACCGTAATCGTGATGTCGCCGAAGCACGCGATGGGGATTTCCCATCTGACATTGGGGTTTCCTGGGGGTAACTTGCGGGGCAGGTGATGTGTGATACCCACGCGTGCCCCTCGCTCGAAAGCCAATTTCGGGGCTCACAATTTTGGGATAAGTCAAGCGGTTTTGAGCTGAGGACAAATTGGCCCTGGGTCTGCCAGATCATGCCTCGTCACGTGAAGCCATGATGGTCAAGCCAGCGAGGCAGGTCTCCCTGCTCGCCTGCCAGTGCCAGCGCGCTCAGCGAGGCTCACGTGGCTCACCCGTGCGGAGGCTCTCATTATCCACTTGAAGTATTTTCTTCTTCTCCTCGTAAGCTTCGTCTGTGCAGCATTCCTGCTCGCCAGTGCCAGCGCACTCACGGTCACCGTGACCGTGCGGCGGAAAGACCCCCCTCCCCGCAGGAGATGCAAGGTCGACAGTCAAGCGGTCACCGCTTGAGGGCGAGCACGCAGGGGGGAAACTCACCCGGGTCCTCCCCGCCCCCCTCCCTTCCTTCCGTACATCCTTCCCCCTCTCCGCCGCGCCGCGCTCTACCAGCGGGCTCTCCCCCTCCATCTTGCTTCCAGGGATGATAGGAATGGCAGCAGCAGTACTAGCAGCAGCTCGTCCCCTTGAGAGGGTGGGGGGGGGGGGGGGGGGAGGGGGAGGGCAAGGGGGGGGGGGGGGGGGGGGGACGTTCCGTCCTTCGCCCTCATGCGAGGAGATTGAGGTATTTAATCCCCCTCGGCCTCTCCTTCACCACAGCACTCGCTCTGCGAGCAACACCATCCCTGCTTGCAACCTACTCCTGCTCTCTGCTCGTTACTAGTACCGCATGCAGAACTAGCACCTCTACCTGGCATCGCCTGACTGCCTGACTGCTTTCCAGTGGCACCTGCCCTGCCCGTGCTTCCCAAGCTGACGCCGCGACCACCCGCTGTGCTGCACGCTGTGGCCGCCGTCTCAACCTCTCCTGCTCCTCCTCCCGCCGCCGAGTGGATCTGCAAGGTTCGCCAGCATCATGGGTCCTCGCTCCGGCCTCCTGTTCGCTGCTGCACTCGCGGCTCTCATTCTCTCAGGTGCGCTCTCTCTCTCACGCGGTTACCTCTCCTGCTGTCTCAGTCACACTCTTGCTGTCACCTCTCTTGCTGTCAAGGCCCTTGTTGTCAGCACCCTACTTGCGCATCTGGGCCTCAGCAGCTTGCGGACTTGCAATTCCTTCCACGTTATTCCATATTCCTCCTTCCCCCCCCGGCCCCCTTCTCTTCCCCCAGCCTGTGCGCCCGTGGCTGAGGCCATCCGCGTGCCATCGAAAGGCCCCTGCCGGTGGGGGCATGACAGGGACGAGTCAGGCAAATGCGCTGGTGGGTTGGCTGTGCTGCGTTCTTGCATTCTCTCCGACGGTGAATGGTGGGAGTCCCATGCCTGCGCTGCTGCCTGCTGCCTCACGTTTCCTCGCATGCCTGCATGCCCAATGGCCTTCCCCCTCATTGAATCGTCAGCTCTCCAGCTTAAAACGCCTCCGTGTCTGCCTCCGTGTCCGCTTGTGCTCTCCACGTGCCTGCGTGTGCCTCTCACGTGCCTGCCTGCGCCAGACACGTGCGCAATCCGCAACTGCGGTGCCAACTCCAAGTGCCTCAAGGACGAGGTCGGCTGGGCCAACTGCGTGTGCCTCAAGGGCTTCCAGCGGCTGCCCAACGCCTCCTGTGCCCGTGAGTTGACCCCCCTTTGCTATTCAGTTGACTCAGGAGTATCTCATGTCAGGTCATCGTGCCAGCTCGTGTCACCTCGTGTCAGCTCGTGTAGTTCGTGCAGCTCGTGTCATTTCGTGTAGCTCGTGTCAAGTCAACTCATGTCTGTTCCACACCCCATGCCCTACTGTGCGTTGCTGTGAGACCCGGCAGACTCGTGCAGGATCTTGGAGTGTGGGGCGCATGCCACGTGCGTGAAGGAGGAGGACTCGTCCGCTAAGTGTGTGTGCAACGGGGGATATGCCAAAACTGCCAACACTGCCAACACTGCCAAAACTGCCAACACTGGCTGCGTCGGTGAGTGATGCCGTGCTGCCATGCTGTTGAGTGCTGCCGAGCTGCCGTGTTGGGCTCCAACTGATTCTCAATTACTTGCACGCTTTCCTCTCCCATAGGGTTTAGCTCTCTCCCCTTTCCCGTCGCCTCCTCCGCCCATCCCCGTGCAGACACGTGCACTCTCAAGGCGTGTGTGGGTGGCAAGTGCAGCAAGGACGTTGCGGGAGCAGCTGTCTGTACTTGCGACGCTGACGCTGGCTTGAAGCTGCTGCCTGACGGCAGGACTTGCAAGGGTGCGTGCTGCTGTGTGCTGCATTGTTTCGCAGTGTGCGTCGCTGTGTTTGCGATGTGCATATTGCATTGCATGTGCTACAGGTCGGTGGCAGGACGAGCAAAGGAGGTTGCTGGATTATGTGTGTGCGGCTTGATTGGTGCTGTGTTCAGAAGCTGCTCTGTGCTGTTGGGCGGCCTCAACATTCCTAGGAGCCGTCCAGCCATCTCATACATTCCTACTTCCCTCATGTGCTCTTCTCTCCTTTCCAACTGCCCTTTCAGACGCGTGCCTCATCAGGGACTGTGTCGGCGAGGATCCCAATTCCAAGTGCGTCAAGGCTCGAGACGTTGCGACCTGTGAATGCAACACGGGGTTCGAGCTCTCGGGGGGGGTTTGCACTGGTAAGTTTACCAGGGCTAGTCTATCGGCGTAGTCTTTCGTCGAGTGCTGCTGCGTCCGTCAGTGCTATCGGGGAGTGCTGCTGTGCCAGGGTCGACTGTTGAGTCGCGCTTGCCGCATGTGCACCATGACTCCCAACAATTGCTGTGTCGGCGAGTGCCGCTTTTGAGTCGTCCATTTGTGTGCCTTTTGAGTCGTCCATTTGTGTGCCCGTTCTTTGCTGTTTCGTGCGCCTTTCTCTCTGTCAATTTACCTCCTGTTGAATCCCCCCCCTTTTCACGCCTCCTCCACCCCTCCCCTCCCAGACAAGTGCAAGCTAAAGGGGTGTGTTGGCGGCACATGCAGCCAGGAGACTGGGTCGCCAGTGTGTCATTGCGACAACACCATTGGCCTCGTGCTGCTGGAGGATAAGAAGACGTGCAAAGGTAGGTGTGAGGGGTGGGTTGTGTGTGCTGCTGTTGTGCTGCTGCTCAAGTGTGTGCCCTGCTGTGTGCTGTTATGGGAGTGGGTGGGTGCTGATAGGGGGTGTTTGCTGCTGAATGGGGTGGGTGCTGAGAGGGGGTGTTTTCTGCTGAATGGGGTGGGTGCTGAGAGGGTGTACCGCTGGCCTCGTGCTGCTGGATAGGGTGTGTGCTGGATAGGGTGTGTGCTGCATAGGGTGTGTGCTGGATACGGTGCGTGCTCGACACGGTGCGTGCTCGACACGGTGCGTGCTCGATACCGTGCGTGCTCGATACCGTGCGTGCTAGATACCGTGCGTGCTCGATACCGTCTGTGGTGGGGGGAATTTGGTGCTCTGAACCCCCCCTCTTCCCTCCCCAAACAGGTTTTTTTTACCCCTGCCCGAGTTGTTTTTATACCTGCCCGCCAGAGCGTATTTCCTAGCGTATCCAATCCCATAATGAAGCGTACAGCGTATATACGCTAGCGTATAATACGCTGGACGCGTATTTCTCCACTTAGGTGGGTAGCATGTGTGCTGGAGACGGTGTGTGGTGGATAGCATGTGTGCTGCTGGATAGCATGTGTGCTGGATTGGGTGCATGCACGCGTTTGTGTGCTGAATTCTTTGCTCAACGCTTCCTGTCTGTCCTGGCTCTCATTTCTTGCCCTCATTTCTTGCCCTCATTTCTTGCCCTCACTTCTTGCCCTCATTTCTTGCCCTCATTTCTTGCCCTCATTTCTTGCCCTTAGATGCATGTGAGGTGAAGGTCTGTGCAGCCATTGGCGTCAATGGCGAGTGCATTAGGAATCCGCAGAATGCATCCGACGTGCACTGTGCGTGCAAGAATGGCTACGTGCTGTTGGGAGGCATATGCACTGGTACGTTTACCAGTCTCGTTCTGAGTGTGTGTGTGCTGGATTTCTTGTCAAAAGCGTACTGACTCTCCTGGCTTTTTTTTTTTTGTCGTTTCAGATTCTCTCTCGCCCACTCTCGCTCTCACGCTCTCTCCCTGCTCTTTGCCCCTCCTCTCCCCAGACACCTCTCTGATGGTTATTGGCACGCAATAGAGCAGCAGAATGATTCATGCAGCATGTCTTTCCCTCGTGCTATCGCGTCATTTCAGAGCCAGATCTTTGCGCCCAAGTGACTTGCAAGCCCAACAGCCAGTGCGTGAAGGGCGACTGCATGTGCAACAAAGACTTTGTCAAGAACGAGCAAACCGGCGAATGCAGTACACTTCTTGTCCCTCACCCTTGGCTTCCTAGCTGGCTCGTCCTTCTCTCTCTCAAGCGGTCCTTAGTATTGCTGAACCCTGGGTACAGGCTAGGCAAGGGGAGCAAGGTAATGAGACATGTCGCATGGGAGACTTGGCCTGTGAGTCCTAGGCCTACTGGAACCCCTCTTGGGGCTCAAGGATGGCGAAGCAGTCCCCGAGGGACATGTCCGTGTCCGGGTCCCCTAGGGGGGGCCAATCTGCCGGCGAGGCCTCATTCACCTTTCCAAGGTAAGACAGAGCCTGCCCCCTCTGGAGCGTTATAGACCAGCGCTGGCGGAGCTGGCTGAGCAGTTTCGCCGCTTGGTAGGAGCTGGGGTCCGCGTTGAAGAGTCGTCGGGCTCCGGTGTGCGCCAGCAACTTCAGGAAGGTAGGTACTTCGTCGCACGGGCAGCCATATGTTTCCACAGCAAGGGGGAATAGGCCCACGTACTCCGCCCTGCTGGAGTAGTGGTCCGTCTTCTTGGCTGCTTGCTCCCTGGCCATATACCCCCTGCCCTTGTGTGCTTCGGGGTCGCGGTTGCTGATGGGGTCTGTGACCGTGACGTCGCAAATCCACACTGCGCCGGAGTCCCTATCTCGGTTGGCGAGGTTAGCCGTCTTGCCATCCACTGGGTTGTACATGGCCGTCTCTTTCGTGACGATGAATGACACGTCCCGGGCCATCCGGATGCACTCGTCACGAAGGGCGTTGTGGGTGTTGGTTTGGCCATGGCCGGTTCCACAGCGGAAGAAATGGTTAGGGAGACGGGGATTCGGGATCTTCACCCGCTTGGAGCAGTTGCAGATCTTGGGCGCGGGGAAGGGCAGCCCTAGCCGAAAGGCCAGTGCTATGACAAAGTGAGGAGGGGCCATCCGCAGTGAGGGGAGGATGGGGATGGCATGAAACCAGTCCCCTGCCCCATATCCAGTGAGCGAGAGCATCCGTTGGGTATGCCCGCTTAGCGGGTTCAGCTCTATCCGTCGCGTGGCAGCCAGCTGGTCGGCAAATCTGGAGCCTTGGACTTCCAGGGCCAGGATGTGCTGTAGGGGAGCGTCTGATGGCTCCAGCCGCTCGGACTGTAGCAGGTCCAGGGCCGATGTCGGGAGCGCCGCCTCGCATTCCGCCAACCAGGTATGGAGGGGGGTGGGGCTGGAGAACGGGGGTGCGAGGGACTGTGCGACCAGAGCCAAGGGGCGTGATTGGGCGGACGGCAGGGAGGCAAGGAGGGTCTGTGCCCGGGCGACGCTCGTGAGGAAGGAGTGGGGCCCCTCCACGGTCGGATCCACCAACCCGAGGCCTCCCAGGGAGGGAGGGAGGGAGGGAGGGGAGGCCTGGGCCCAGGTCCGCGCCCGCTCCGCCTCACCGCGTGGTAGCTGGAGGTTGCAGGCTTAGAGAAGCGTGTGGAACAGCTCCTGCCCCCAGGCGGACCACTCTTCTCGGCGCAGGAGGTTCAGTGGCGTCGTGCGGGTGAGGTATGCCACTCGCCTCGAGACGCAGCGGGCAAGTAGGAGGGATGTCGTCTGTGGGTCCATGGTGGCCAACGTGGCGAGAGGGCTGGCCATGTCAGCCAAGTGCTCGCGGAGGAAGCGGCTGGCTCCCTCCGTGGGCCCGACGTGGCTGCCCAGCACTCGTAGTCCGTCGGGGCAGAAGGGGATGCCGGGGGGGATGTGGTCAACGGCGGCTGGGGTGGGTGCCCATGCTCCGCATTTGGCGAGGTTGTGGGTGAGGCCGAGCGGTCCTAGGGCTGCGGTGAAGTGGGCGAAGGCGGCGGCACACGCCGATGGTTCGCCCATCAGCGTGACGTCGTCAGCATAGGCCAGACACAGGACGTTGCGGTGGGCAATGGATGTCGCCTTGAGGGCGGGATGCATGGCGGCTGCAAATAGGAGGGGTCCCATGGGGTCCCCCTGCCTCACGCCTAGTTCGCTCTGGAGTGGGGGGGCGTTGAAGCCCGCGTCGAGGTAGAGTAGCGGGGGAGCTCCGTAAGAAAGCTCGACGAAGGGGAGGAGGTGCCGCAGCGGTGAATTGTAGAGGCCGGTTACGATCGCCCCGCGATCAACGTTGTTGGTAAGGTCGATTTGGATAATGAGCGCGGACGGGCGCTCCGTGGCGAAGACGCGGGTGGCGTGGATTATCGCCTCACCGCCTCCGCGGACTGCCACGCCAAATTGCAGGGGGAGGAAAGTGGCTTGGGCCCTGTCCGCCGTTGATGTGAGGCATGCCTTGCCCGCGATGCGGAGGAGACATTCCCCCACTGCGATCGGCCGGGTGCCGCCATCCGGCTTGGTGAGGGCGAGGAGGCGGCTAGCTGTAAGGGGCGCAACCGCCGCCGCCCGTGGCTCTCCCTTGAGCAAGCCCAGGACCAGCTCGTGGAGTTTGGTGAGGACGGTGCCGTTGGCTAGTGCAGCATCTCGGATAGGCATGAGCAACGGCCCGGCCCGGCCCGACCCGGCCCGGTTTAGGGTCGGCTCGACTAGAAACCGAGCCGGGCCGGCCCGGCCCGACCCGGGCCGGCCCGGCCCGACCCGGGCCGGTTTCTCAGACTTCCTGGCCCGGCCCGGGTTTTTAGACCCGGGCCAACCCTGGCCCGGGGGGCGAGGCGGGCCGGCCCGCCCTCAAAACGGGCAGAATTTGGGCCAACCAGCCTGACGACGCCTGGCCCGACTTGAATGACCTCGTCGGGCCGGCGGGCCGGCCCGGCCCGGCGGGCCATACCCGGACCGGCCCGAACGGGCCGGGACCCTTCCGAGTGTCGGCCCGGCCCGGGAAAATTCCGGTCCGGTCCGGTCCGGCCCGGCCCGTCCGGGCCGTTTGCTCATGCCTAATCTCGGATGTGCTCGAAACACATTCCGGAGGGGCCTGCCCCAACCCCATTCTTGCATCGACTGAGTAATTTTGTGAATTCAGCGACAGTGATGGATGAGGGCGGCTCCGTGTCGTCGACGGGGGGCCACGCAATGTCCTGGGTCAGGGGTGGCGGGTGCTTTGACTTCAACGCATGTAAGACCTCTGGGGTTGACTCGCTGACTGGGGTGGACTCCAGGGCGAGCAGCGCCCGTCGCAAACTTCCCCGGCGGACTAGTCCCTCAGCACGAGATATTTTGCCGAGGGCGTCCGGTCGGTGACGTGGAGGGGGCGGATCGTGTATTGCGTCAACTGCCGCCAGGTACAATGCGTCCCATTCGCCTGCGAGGAATTGTAGTAGGCGTGCTTCTATCGCCCCCCAATCCGGATGTCGCTGCGAGTTGAGGCGAAGTGTAAGTCGCGGTGTGTACAGTAACAGAACCCAACCCGCCAACCTGGTTCGGTTTTTCGCGATGTGCAGCAGAGGTGTCAGGAGCGCCGTCGCGAATAGCGGGCGAAGTTTGTGGGGCAGTCGCCTGGAAAGGGGGGGTTGGCGACTGTCACTCAGCAGTGCTGTATCCCAGTTGTCGATGCCAGCGAAGAGAGGCTCGTTTGAGGCAAGTTCGTCCGGCGAATATTGGCGTCGCGATTGGTTGGCCTGGGGGGAGTTTGCCCGCTGATTCTGTGCCCCGCTGTTGTTTCTTCCCCTAGATCTACGGTTATGTCCCGCTCTTCCTGCTCCACCCTGCTGCTGCTCCTCCTCCCTGTCCTCGTCACTAGACTCATCTGAGCTCACCACAGCTCTTCCCTCCGCTATATAAGTGGCATCGTTTCTTTCCTCCTCAGTTGTATTCCTCCCGCCTGGGCTCTTAAAGCCCTGTCCGCTGCCACTTGGAAACCATTCAACGGTCCTCCCCCTGCTCGCAGCCCCGCCAAACGACCGCGTCCTCGCCCTCGTCCGCGGCCCGCACCCTGTCTCCCCGCCGACCGGGGTGTCGGAGGGCGACGACCGCTCGCTGTCGCGAGTGACGGCAATGGAGACGGCGCGTGATCGTGCCGGTCGATCCCCCGCTGGACGCGCTCGCCGCGAGCGGTCTCTGGACCTGGAGAGCACGGCTGGGGACGCCCCCCGCAGAGGTCGTTCGAGCTCTCCCCCCTGGTCGAGTGCGCGCTGGGCACGCGGCCACCCTGTCACGACGGCGAGCACACCTCCATCCCCCGGCCAGCCTGGGCATGCGAGTGAAGGTGATCGCGGGGCTGCAGCGCCGGGCTCCGATGTCCTGCGGCCGGTGGCCCGTGCTGCATCGGCCTTGCGCCAGCCTGCGACGTCGCCTCCTCGTTCGCGGTCGGTGCCGCGGGGGAGGGGCAGGCGCGCTCCTCCTGCCTCGAGGCCCCTGGGGGAAACTCCGCATCGCCCCCCAAATCCCGAGGTGCCGCCGAATCAGGAGGGACCCAGCTGCGGATGGCGGGGTGGGGGCCGTCGAAATGCACTGGAGAGGCGCTTGGCGCGCACTGCGGCGGCCCTCGAGGGTATCCTGGAGAGGGCCGAGGCACGGGGCCAGCTGCCCGTGGCATTGGAGAACCCCGCGCCCCAGCCGCCTGTACAGGCGTACCAGCCACTCCGTCCCAAGCCGGAACCCTCCTTGCCGCTCCATCCATCGTCGATGCGGCTGTATCCTCTGCCGCAGCAGCCCTTGCAACCGCATGTTCCTCAGTTCCCGCCGCAGCATCTGCCTCCCCTGGGGGCTCCCCTGCTGCTCCTGCAGCCTCCGCGGCCGTCTCTCCAGCAGCCACCTCCGCCGAATCCACCGTTGTTCCGGCGCCACCATGCGCACCCTCCTCCGCCCCTGGTTGTCCCGCCACAGCGGCTTCCCTCGCCGCAGTACCCATCGGCTCCGGCGCTTCCCCAGGTCCTCGGCCCGATACCGTCTCCACCTCCGCGTGAGTCCGTTGTTTCCGCGGGTGATTCGCTGCCCAAGTGGCAGCCACCTCCGTTGCAGGCGCCTGGCACGCAATGGGCAGAGCCGTCACCCGAGGGCTACGGCGCACACCCGTACGTGTATTTCCGTGGCGCGGTGACTGGACCCTTCGTCCCGCCGCGGCAGCGGGTGGCGTCCCCCCGTGGAGTCGAGGTGGGGGCAGAAGCAGCGGAGACGGGGGGGGGGGATTCGTCCGGGGAGGGGTCCCCATATCAGCGTGACGGCGGGCCTCGGAGTGCTCTGTGGGGGCCTCCTGGGCCAGGTCGCTCGGCCGCCTCGCCGAGGGAGGGGGAGGGGATCCCAGCCGCCACGCTTCAGCGGCTCTGGCACGTGAAGCAGGCGATGGAGATTCTGGCAGGGATGATGGCGGTCGCGAGCACTGCTCCGCTGGGCTCAGAGAATCCGTGTACTGGTCTGTACTCCCCACTCCAGAACTGCACCCGAGGCTGCGCTTGAGCTTGCAATAGCGGCAACGCGAGCGCAGCCTGCGCGTGGCCGGGGAAGAGCGACGGACCCGCACCTCCTCACCGCCCTCCGCCGCGTGTCGGGGAGCATAGACTCGGCGTCAGTTGGAGAGTTTGTAGGCGGCGCCGCGTCCATGCTTCAGGTCCTGGCCTCGTACCAGGCAACGCTGCTGGGCGGGGCAGGCGTGGAGGACCTCCTGGGGTAGCGGCGCGACAGGAGTATGTCCATTGTGGCGGTGCATCCGTCAGTGACAGGTCTCCAGTCTGACGAATCAGGCTGTCCATGCGTTGCGCCTCTCAGGCCTCCGGCAGGCTGTTGCTGCCGGGATGCATGGGGGGATCTTGGCCTCTGTACTTGATTGTATGGTGATTTGTAATTACTTGATGTTGTCTGGCGCGCTTGTCATCCCCTAATGCGTGGCCGAAGGCCGCCGGCGCGAGCCGATAGCAAGGGAGGAAAGTTGAGAACTGAACTAAATACAGAGCAAATGAGAGGGAGGGGGCCTTATAAAGCTAGGAAAGGACCCATGCTCTCTCGCTCTCTCTCTCTTGCTCTCTAGCCGCTCCCTCTCCCTCTCCCTCTCCCTCTCCCTCTCCCTCTCCCTCTCCCCTCTCCCTCTCCCTCTCCCTCTCCCTCTCCCTCTCCCTCTCCCTCTCCCTCTCCCTCTCCCTCTCCCTCTCCCTCTCCCTCTCCCTCTCCCTCTCCCTCTCCCTCTCCCTCTCCCTCTCCCTCTCCCTCTCCCTCTCCCTCTCCCTCTCCCTCTCCCTCTCCCTCTCCCTCTCCCTCTCCCTCTCCCTCTCCCTCTCCCTCTCCCTCTCCCTCTCCCTCTCCCTCTCCCTCTCCCTCTCCCTCTCCCTCTCCCTCTCCCTCTCCCTCTCCCTCTCCCTCTCCCTCTCCCTCTCCCTCTCCCTCTCCCTCTCCCTCTCCCTCTCCCTCTCCCTCTCCCGCTCCCTTTCTATCCCTCGCTCCCTCTCTCTCTATCCCTCGTTCCCTCGTTCCCTCTCTCTTCGCTCTGTCCTTTTCATTCTAAACCACTATTCAGTTATCTGCCTCGTTTTCAGTTATGTGTTAACCAGTACTCTTTCCACGCACGGTTCCTCCCTTCATCCACATTCTTGTCCCGTCTTGTCCAAAGCAAGTTCCGCACACTGTCGAGTTCTCTCATCCGCCCCACCTTCTGTTCCCACGACCTGGACGCCAGTGCAGTCTTTTTCACTTTCAGCCTTCTTTTCGGGTTGCCAATGTGCCGTATACCACTTTCGATCCCACCACTCACCCGTGTGCTCTGCGCTGTGCGCTTTTATCATCCAATCCCCAGTCTCTGATCTGGACTGCTCACCTGATGGCAAGTGGGCGTACAGGGACGGAATGCCCTTCTGTGAATGGGGTAAGCATGGGCGCCTGGTGAGTCTGTGGAAGTTGGTAAGCGCGGTGTGGACCGTAGACTCCCATGTCATGCCTTCCCCTCGTACCTGATTTACCACCATGCCGTCCTGCTGCCTCTCAGTTCGAGCTGTCCCTGTAGCAACGAGATAGCATGCACTCATCTCCACTCCGTCCCTCTGCTGCATCCCTCAGCATCTCCCTGTGGCAGCTGCCCCTCGACCACCACCTGCGCGCAAATGCCTTCAAACAATAGAGCGTACTACTGCAGCTGCCCCGCATCGTGGGTTATGACGTCGACGGGCTGCTGGCATCCTCTCTTTAGCAGTACGTCTCACTCATTACTCTGTCTGCTACCCTTGTTTGGGCTCCAAGCCGTCTGTATGTGAGTATCGCTGAGTGGCGATAATGTTTGGCATGTGGCCTGGCAAAGCAACACCCACAGGTGAGAGGCTTCTTCTTCCCAATGTGGATTCTTTTGGAAGGATGGGAGAGGGACACAGTACTCACATGTCATGGTGGGCATGGGAAGAATAAATGGCTTACCCCACGCTCGCAGCCCCATGCACACTTCTCCTCCGCTCTTCTTCTCTTAGCTTGGAAGGTGGTACGGTTTGGGTGGGTCTGTTATCACCATTGGTCGGGTGGGTCTTTTATCAGCATGGGCTGGCGGCCTCAAGTTCCTCCAGCAGTGTCGCTTCAAGTTCCTGGGGTGCCTTTCCATCCATCCCCAAACATCTTCATCCCCACTCCCCTACCTGCCTGCCAGCACACATTATCCCCCCCTCTTCTCCTTCCCTCCCTTCTCTTCTGCCCTTTTGGTGCTTGTGCCCGCCTCTGCCAGACTCCGTTCCAGGTGTACAGACGGCAGCCAGCTTCTTCATTATTTCTGACCCCGATGCCCCGGGCTTCATGTCCCGGCCGTACACCTTCTATTCGTCTCCCAACGCTTGCACGCAGCTCCCTGCGGCAGTGGCTGGCAAGTTCCGGTTCTTTGCGTACATTCCCTTCCGCACAGATATGTGTGGGGATGTTGTCCTCTATCATACAGACAACTGCGAGCGAAGGGATGGTATTGTCGAGGAGCGTGCATCCAGCGCCAGGCTCAATGAAGATTTCATGGATTACCGCTCCCTTGAGTGCATCCCCTAAGTTCGGCTACAGTTATGCGAATAACCCTGCAACCACAATGGCCTGCTGACTGGGATGGACAAGCAAGCAGCAGATTGATAGTACCGTAATCCCCCGGATATAGGCGCATAGGGGCTTATAGGAAGTACCTGGCAAAAGTGGCATGCGCTTGTAATCGAATAAAAAATATAAGCCCAGGGCTTAACTAAGGGATTTTATGGAAAACGAATTTGAGCACATAAAAATGTAGCTCTTGACATTTGTGTTCTAGCGCGTTTTTTTCGGGAAAATTTCTGCCGCGGACTGTCCACGAAACTTTTCATACTTTCGTGGACAAGCCCTACTTTCATGGACACCACATCGAAGTTTTGCTTCTCCTCTGGACTCCGTCAATACTTTCGTGGACTCCCGGCTTACTTCCATGGACACACCCATATTCGCAGTTAAAAAGGAGTATTCAGCAATGTACGAGTGATTACGGGCACAAAAATCGAGATACTCCAGAATATCTGTCCGTCGCAAGTAATCGCGAGCTACAGTGTCGGAAACCAGTTATGAAACAGAATCTCGGAGCTTTTCTGGGAAGAGTTTGCAGCCGCACTCAAATATGCAGTGAATTTTCAAAAACAGGGTGTATTAGGGTCCGCGTGGTAAAAACACTTATTATTCAACTCAGAGCTACCCAACAAAACATAATATGCACGTGCTTGACGAGCCAGCATCAACCAGCAGTTGTTTTTATTAAACAGTGAAATTAATAATTGAGAGGAAGAGAGTACACAAACATATACCTAACAGTTGTACTCTCTAGAAGATGACCCTATACAGTCTATACAAGCATGATAACTAAACATGTTTGACACACCCCCTGGACTGCATAGGGGAATGTTCTAGACAAGCAGCTCAGGGTGGCACTACTAGTCCAGCCTCTGAGACAAGGGTCTAAAAGACCAGTCAGAAGGAGTACAGGCAAGGCAAGAACTAGTACAGGGCGGCACTACTAGTCCAACCACTGTAAGAGGACACAAGTCCAGTCTGAGTGTACACACAGATATATAGGACAGTACAGAGTCAAGGCCCGAGTAAGTGAGAGACTACAGGAACCAGACCAAGCTGTACACAGTGCCGCTGATGATCTTTAGGCGCAAGCGCCTTCGTAAAGATATCAGCTGTGTTGGCACCGGAGGCTAAGTGTACTACGCGAGCCTGGCGACGCTGCTGTAGCTCACGCAGGAGGAAGTACCGCAGCTGGATGTGCTTCGCTCTGCCCTCGAGTCGAGGCTCCTGACACAGGAGGATCATGGCCCTGTTGTCAGCGTACAGGACCGGGGCAGAGCTAGGCCGCTCACCTAAGTCAGTGAGCAAGAAGGTCAGCCAGCGGAGCTCCTGTGCCGCCATGGCACCGGCGTAGATCTCGGCCTCACAGCTGGACTGGGCAACAGACGAAGAGCGGGTAGCTCTCCACGAGACAGCACCTGAGCCAAGGCTAAAGCAGTAGCCCTGGGAAGACCTGAGCGTCTCCGCGTCGTCTGCCCAAGAAGCGTCTGTGTGTCCAGTAAGGACCACTGGCCTGCGTCCGCCTAGCACTAACCCCATGCCCGATGTACTTGCAAGATAACGCAAAACCCTCTTAGCGGCAGACCAGTGCTGAGGTCGGTGTCTGCCTGTGGCCACGAACCGAGCCAGGATGCTGAGAGGGTATGCGAGATCTGGGCGAGTGCAAGTCATAAGGTACATGAGGCAACCCACTAGCTCAGCGTAAGGACCACTAGGATCTACCGACTCCTCAGGAACTGGAGCGGAGAGTCTGTGGTCCAGAGGAAGAGGGGTGGGCTGTGCGGAGGAGAACTGAAGGCCGAACCTCTGAAGGACCTGGCGCACCAAGTGTGACTGAGTCAGGGTGATGGTGCGCGCGGCTCTGTCCCTGGAGATCTGCAAGCCAAGGTAACGGCGCAGCTCTCCAAGGTCAGTGCAGGTGTGTCTCTTCAGCAGCTCTGCCTTCACGGAGGCCAGTGCGTCCCTGTCAGCAGTGGCAAAGACCAGGTCGTCTACGTAGACAAGGATGTAGAACGGAGTCGAGCCAGCACGAACGAAGAGCGAGGGGTCTGCAGAGGACGGAAAGAACTGCAGGTCAGCAAGGGTAGCACGCAAAGTGTCGTGCCACTCACGAGGCGCCTGGCGCAGGCCGTAGACTGGCCGCCGCAGAAGCCACTGGGTCCCAGGGGGGAAGGTGCCAGTAAAGCCCTGAGGGCGACGCAGGTAGACCTGCTCGTGAAGGCTGCCCTGAAGAAAGGCAGTGGAGAAGTCGAGGGAGTGAAGCTCGTAGTCACGCTGAGCCGCTACGTGTAGCAGAACCCGAAGAGTAGTCATCTTCGGGGTAGGAGCGAAAGTCTGAAAGAAGTCCACCCCCTCGCGCTGACTGAAGCCTCTAGCCACGTAGCGCGCCTTGAACACAGGCGGCTCTCCAGGAGGGCGCTTCACCTTGAAGAGCCAGCGGCCATCGACCACGTTCACCCCAGGTGGGGGAACTGCGTCGACGAAGGTGCCGGTGGATCTCCAAGATGCCATCTCCTGCTCCATGGCAGCTATCCACTGAGAGGCCCAGGGTCCCGAAACCGCCTCAGCGTAAGTACGAGGGGTCGGGATGTCGAAAGCGTCTGGGTCACCCTCAGGGACTAGCAGCATGGAACAGAGATGGGGAGCAGCCTCGGACAGGAAAGCAAGCTCAAACTGGCGGTCCTCTAGGACGTCACTGCCGAGGGCAGGAGCACCCCCGACAGACGGAGGACAGGCTGGTTCAGAGACCAGAGCGGTGGCGTAGTCAAGGCGGCGGGTAGAGGCGAAGTCAGCGACCGCAGCGACGAGGGCGTCAAGACTCGACACTGGAACAGACGGGTCGGTAACAAGAGAGGCAAGGACCCGAGGAACAAGAGGACGAGCGGCACGAAAGTAGTCGGACAGAGGAGGAGACGCAACGACAAGAGAAGACGGAGGAGGAGACGGGAGGAGGGGAGGACGAGACGGGTGGGAACGGAGCAACATAGGGTGAGAGCGCGGGACAGGGGAGACAGGACGAGCACGAGCGGGGCGGCGAGACCAGACGTGTGAGGGCGGCGTCGGGTCAGGAGACAGAGGAGGGGACACAGGAGGGGAACGGGGGGGAAGACGAGCCGGGGACGAGTCTGGCAGAGGGAACACGGGGCCGTAGACGGGAAGAGGGGGAGACGGCAGGAGAGGAACAGGCGCAGTGTCAGGAGACGGGAGGCCGAGCAGACGGAGGGCGGTCACAGGCGGGGACTGCTGCTGCGGCGACACAACACCAACACCAGGGCCACAAGCAGCGCGACGACTACCTCCCGAACCCTCCAAACCTGCACCCCCAGAAGGGACACCCCCAGAGTCCACAAACGGCGGCAGGGACGACAGCGGCGGCGGCGGCGGCGGCTGCAGCGACGGCTGCAATGGCGGCGGCGGTGGAGACGATGGCTGCAGCAGGTGCGGCGACGGCGGCTGCGGAGGCGGGGGAGGAGGAGACACCGGGGGAGGGACAGACGGCGAGGACTGCGCCGGAGGACTACCAGAGTCAGAAGACTCGTCGACCGGGACGACCGACGGGAGGGGGGTGACGTGAGACACACCAGAGGGGGCCGGACGGGGGGGCGGCGGGGGGGGGGGGGAGGGGCAGGGACCACCGGGGAAGGAGGGACCAGGAACAGGGGGGGAGTAACCGGGGGACCACGGTGAGGGAAGCGGCGGTAGAAGGAGACGGACTCGTCAAAGGTGACGTCGCGAGAGTGAAAGAAGCGGTGGGACGGCGGGTGGTAGAAGTGCCAGTCGGACGCGTCAAGGGGGAAACCGAGGAAGACGCAGGGGAGGGTGCGGGCAGTGAGCTTGTCCGTGCCAGAGGCACGGACGTGGGCAAGGCAGCCCCAGACGTGGAACGCAGACGCGTCACCAGGGGACCCGGTCCACAGAAGGGTCGGCGAAACCTGCGGCCGCTGGGGGTGCGGCCACAGGTTAAGCTGGTGAGCGGCGTAGCGCACGGCGAACGGCCACAGAAAATGGGGTGCACCGGCGTGGATCATGGAGGTGCGAGCCACCTCCATGACCAAACCGATGCGTCGCTCAGCGACCCCATTCTGCTGCGGGGAGTCCGGCAGGGTAAACGTCTGGGTGATGCCCTCCGCACGACAGAAGCGACCAAGGACACCTGAGGCAAACTCGCCACCCCGGTCGGAGTGGAGGCGCAAGGCAGGGAGACCGCGGTGGACACGAGCAGAGACAAGCCAGGGGATGAGAACGTCAGGCACGTCGGCCTTCCGCTCCAGGGGGAAGACGGTGGTGTAGCGTGTGAAGTCGTCGACAAGCACTAGGAAGAAGCGCTCGCGACGCGGCCCATGGACCGGGGCTGGGCCCCAGACGTCCATGTGCAGAGTCTGCAGTGGTGCGGTGGTAGGGGGAAAAGAGGAGGAGTGAGGGGCACGGCGGAGCCGGCCCTCGACACAAGGCGTGCACGGTGGGGCGGGGGAGGAGGGAAACTCGGGGAACGAACCGGGGAGACCAAGGACGAGACCGTGCTGGGACATGTGACGCAGACGTGGGAGTGCAGGGTGACCAAGGCGGTGGTGCCAAAGGAGAGTCGGGTGAGTGAGGGACCGACAGGAGCACGCGGCAGCAACCTGGGTGGACGCAGCTACCGGGGGGGAAGACCCAGCCGGGGACGTCGCGGTGTCAAGAGTGAACAGGCCGGACACCGGGTCCCGGGGGAAAGTGGTAAGGGGGGCACCAGTGGCGGCCTCGGTACAGACAGCATACCGCTCGTGACCAGGGAACGTAGTGGTGACGCCAAGGTCCTGGAGGCAGCCGACACCAACTAGGTTCCTGGAGAACGAGGGGATATGCAGACCAGTGAGCGAACCTGAAGGAACCGCCGGACAGGGAAGGGAGGTGGAACTGCGGGCAACGACGGGACCACCGGAGGGGTTAGCAAGAGTAACGGCAGCGGGAACAGGCAGCGGCGTCAGCGTCGTGGAGTCGCGGAAGAAACACCGGGAGGCGCCAGAGTCCAAGGTGAAGGAAAGCGCAGCAGTCGCGTGAGGCGGCAGTGAAGCGGTGGAAGCACCAAGGCTAAGCAAAGCAGGAGATCCTACGCCTGACGCAGCAGGGGAGTCTACGCTAGGCACCGCTACACTAGGCAACACGGGGTAATAAGAGGGAAGCACACTAGAGTCATCAGCATACATC